TAAGCTCTGGGATTCGTTGAAGGACTATTAGAGCTACAATTTCAAAATATTTTTATTAAGATACAGAGGTCCCAAATAATAAAAAAAAAATATCAAAGTTGCATTTTTTTAAATGGACACCCTGTATATTATTACATTTTTACTCTACGATTAAAATAAAAGGTAACTTGATTAGGGTTTATTATACTTAAACCTTTACCGTTTTTGAAATATTTTCAATTTTGTGAAATTGCAAAATTTTAAAGCTTCATTTCTCCAAGGGTATCAAATGTTTTAATAATAAATATTTAATGAAGTTTCTATTTATTGATCAGTTATTGTGTTGCAATAATAAAATAATACTACCTTATATACAGAGTGTCTAAAAAAAATTTATTTAAATAATTATTAGCTTCCAACGGCAATAACTTCTTTTAATTTAAATGGAATGCCCTGTATATTTTAGAGAATCCTCAGATGCACAATTAAATTGGTTCATCAAATTGTACTATACCATTTTTACCTATCCCTTCAAGTTTTCGTAGAAAATGGCATTTTCTTATAATTTAGACCTCTAATATCAATATATCCATGGAATATTGACATTTTAGATTGTTTTAAAGCAACAAATGTACAATGGGGAGTAGACTAGTAATATTATTGTTTTTAGCAAACGATAATATTACTAGCCCATTTGTATGGTAAAGAAAACTATTTAAATCTTATAAAAGAGTATATTCATTTATTAAATATAACAACTACTATTTCCACCCATATACTAATTAATTACATACTTTTATTTTGTTTTCATAATAAATTCATTATAAATAAATGTGGATTTGAGTCAGAAATCAATATAATAAGTTATCAAATTAAAGTCTCTGTTGTTATAAATAAGCATTTTATTAAAAAAATGAAATATCATTTTTAAGGTGTTACTTTTATCACACTGTCTAATGCCCATCCAAAATTCAGTTTTTAGTATTTGGAGCAATTATTATTAATCAACGCAAACAGTCAGTTAATGTAATTTGAATACTGGAATCATATTAATTGGTCCTTTTAACAAATATTTAAACAGTTTTTTATTTTTTAAATGAAATAATAATGAATTATATCGACAATATTATATTAGTATCTGTACTCTTTAAAAGTTGGTACATCTTTTAAAAATAATCTAAAATGTCAATAGTCCATGGGTATATTTCAAAACGGTAAGGTTTAAGTATAATAAATCTTAATCAAATTTACCTTTTATTTTAATCGTAGAAACTAAAATGTAATAATATACAGGGTAGTTCCATTTTAAAAAAATACAACTCTTGATATTTTTACTTATTTGGGATACTCTGTATCTTGTAAAATTATTTTTAAATTGTACCTCTAATAGTCCTTCATCGAACCCAAAACTTACAATTTGTAAAAATCTCATCGTTTAGCTACAATACTCCGTGTCGTATGTGGTGAACAACCCGGTATAGTTGCATATAGGTATATGTTGTGGATTATTTGTTTAATTAAGACCGATAGGGTATGGTGAGCATCGAAATATATGAGCTCGCTGCAAAAGAAGTAATATTGCGACATGAAAGTCTCCGTGATGTGGCTTCGAGTTACAATCTCAACCATACAGGTATATTAAAAAAAAGAAAGCTTATATGAATTTAATAAAACTGGGATTCCTCTATCAGTTGGATATACAGAAAAGACTGTTTTTTTCTTCTTCAGAGGAGAAGGTACTCTATGAGTATTACTGTAAAAAACTGTGACTTCTACTAGTAAAACGAATGAAATCTGCTTTGAAACTGAGGACGTGTTCAATATTGCCGAAAACCCTGATAATAACTCTAAGATAATACCTAATACTTCAAAACTGCCCTCAATCACTGAATCGGTCGTTTCGTTCATAGATCTTACATCTACTATAGTGCATGTAGCATCCACATCACGTGATAATTCAACTATGGTGACAATACTTTCTCGCTCGAAATTCTCCGACGTTTGCCAAAGGCTCCGACGAAAAGGCTTCGAGCCCTAACAACTATATGTTGGGACAGTCTTTTGCAATAAAATAGTAATTTATTAAAACGACTAATTTATTTTGTTTATTCTAAATTCAAAACATTACACATGATCTAGACAATTTTGTATTATATTTTTATAACTTTGCAAACAAATCATTTTAGATAATAGCTTATTTTGCCAAAATCAAGCCAAATTTGTTGACAACTATATATTGGGACAAGCACAACAAGATATTTGTTTAATACGGAGTTACATCACCTTTGACCTTAACAACTGCCTGAACTCTTAATGGCATTGTATTTACCAAAGACTGGCACATTTGAGGAGAAAAAATATCCCAAATTTCCTGCAGTTTCGTCCGCAAATCAAAAATTGTCCGTTGAGGGTGGTTTCTCAAATATTGCTTCATTTTATGCCACAGTTTCTATAACATTGAGGTCCGGACTACATGCAGGATGGGATAGAACTTTTATATTATTATTACCGAACGAATTTTTAGTTCATTTTGGTGAATGGCACGATGCTCCATCTTGTTGGAAAATATAGTCTACGTTTGGAAACAATTCTTGAGCACTAGGAAAAAGTGAGGTCTCAAGTATATGTTGATATTTTGGGCGTTAACAGTGCCATCTATAAAATTTAATTTGCCCAAACCTTTTGCTGACATGCAACCCCAAACCATAATCCCTTTAGGAAATTTAACAACCCTCTTTAAGCAATCTTTATGAAAGGCTTCTGGTTTATTTCGTATTATTCGATTTCGATGATCTCCAACGCAAACATCAATTTAGACTCATCGCTAAATATGACCTTATTCCAATCATTTTGTGTCCACGATAATTATTTTGACCTATTGTGCTGATTTTTCTTTGAATTTCTGTCAGTAGCGGTTTTTCTTTGGTCTAAATAAGAATTTGTATCAATAATCTTCAGGTAATTGATTATTCACACAAAATAAAGTTTACCTTGTAAAACCCCCAGACCACATGTATGGATATATTTTCGGCAACATTCTCTTGATATATTTAAACCAGTTACAGTATTCCATTTAATACCGCAAGAGTACTTCAGATCAAAAGTAAATTTTTCCTAAATTTCGTAAATCTCTGAGATACAACTTTTGACCTTTCCCGAACTTTTTTAATTCTTAACGTCTACATTGGCAGATTCGCCATATTTTTTATTATATTAAAGACCGTGGTTTTTGGAATACTTTAAATCATCAGAAATTTTCGAATTGTTTTTCCTGTACTGTATTGACGAATGATAATTTCGCGTAGTTTTCGATTTGTAGCTTTTCCACGGACCATTACTTTGAATCAAATTAACAAAATTGAAAATTAAAATTCACTTACAGTAAACTTCACTGCTCAAAGTATCGAGTCACTTACAAGCTGTCAATGCTGAAGTAAACATTTTGCGACATTTGTGACGTTTATAGCAAAGCCATTTCCTATGATTGATATTAATTATTTAAAAATACTTGTCCCACTATTTAGTTGTCAGCAAATTTTGTCCTTTTATGAACAAAATCCGCTACTGTAAATATGGATTGATTTACAAATTCATAAAAAATATTGTCATAAGCGAGATATATGGCTATGTTTATATTTAAAACATTAAACATATATTTTCAGTTATTTTGAAAAACCAATTCAATTCCAAAATATGACCTTGTCCCAACATATAGTTGTTAGGGCTCGTAAACCACGAAAGGACACTATGCAGTCTATAAAGTCTATTATCATTATCAAGACTATAACCGTTCGAGCAAATAAAACACTAACAATGTACGTTTTTTAGACGAAATACGTATTAAAAAGCATGCGACGACGGCGAAACCTCTAGAATGCCCTTCCTACGAATCGTTTTCCACAAATAACATAAAACGAATCCTTATATTAGCGAAGGGGGGTCAGACGCTTCCTTTTATTCCGGCATTACCGGAGCCCTGTTCGAAGAAACGGGACACCGTGGCGGGATTAAATATTCAAATCGATGAGGCCGAAGCCTGAAAAGTTTTCCTTTTTTCCGACTTCGTTATTACGCGGATTAAAGTTGTCGAGCGGACATGGCAGGTGTGCGAGAAAATGTAAAGAATATAATATGCAATTTTCTCGAAAATAAAAAGGAAATGTTTTGAATATTGCGGAATTTCATTATGATTACATCATTTTTCTGTTATCTGGTTAAATTTATAATGTAGATTAAAATGGATTATACTTGATACTGGGTGTCCTAATATTCCGTGGACATAAAACTACTACGTACTTTCGGAATTAAAATAAATTAATTGGATACAAGATATAGTCTGACAAATGGATCTGAAACAACAGGGGAAGGGTACAGGACAATTTTCTAAAAACTTAGCCAATTTCTTAATTGTTCTAAATTCTTAAAATATCCAGGAGCGTGCGGTGTTTTCTGAAACTATATTAGGAATTTTTATAATATTTTCCAGTAAACTTTATAATGTTACTTAGCTTTAAATGTACGTACATTCTGTTTAGTGATTTGTCAAATATATTAATATTTGTTGGATATCTTGTACTAATTACAATATGCACAAGTCAGATCAAAGGTATAAAATTAAATACAATAACACCACCGCTATACAGGGTGAATCTTAAATAAGTGCAAATATTTTTAGCGGTAGTATATTTCGATCCCAGAAACACGATTATGAGGGTTTTTTTCGTGAAAAAAAATGTTGAAAATTGGGAAGTTTTGGAAAAAAATTTGGTATTGGAATTTTTATGTTTTTATTTAAAAAACATAATTTCTTGATAATAAGGCAACATAAGTAGTAGATTAAATTTACAAGAAAGAAAATCCAGAAAAGATCCAGTGGTTATTTTGGATTTATTTGAAAAACGGTAAAAAGAAAATATGTTTCATTTATTGCCACTTATTTAAGACTCACCCTGTATATTTCAAGCACTAGTCAATATTACTCCAGGGGGGGTGTAAAATTGGGGGTAGCACTGGCCAATAAACAAACATGCGCATTTCTACCGCGCGGCAACGGAAGTCCACCAATCAGGTTGATTGAGTCTGGAATTTTCTCAGCGTTGCCGACTTGTCTGAAGAAATTAATTAAATAAATATAGATATAATAGAACAAAAACTACGTTAAAATACTTAGCATATAAAAATAAGTTAAATTTATATGTAATATGGAGCAATTTTGCTTTTGTATTGCATTCCTTTTGCTGCTTTACGTCTTCTAGGTTTGACTACTTATTTTCGAAATCAAGATAACTTAATTCACTGCCAAGACTCCCATACCATTCTTGCTTCTATTAAAGCTCAAATATTTTGTTACCACAGTTTTTTTTTATTTATTTAGCACCTTTACAATATTGAAACATCTTAATCTTTACATTCGGCAGCTTTCTTCATCTCTTCATATGCGCGGTACATTTCAGGATTGGGCGTGAACACTTGGGTAAAGGTCAGAAACTAAAAACAAAATAATTAAAGAAAATGACATTTTGAGTTTTGAGAAAATATATTTTTCATAAAAATTTTTGCTTGTTCTAAATGGTTAATCCCGTTTATAGGTACTTTTTCAAATTTCCATACCGTTTTAGGCAAAATTAAAAAAGAAACCTGAAAATACAGTTGAAATTTTTTAAGTGCTAAAAGTCAAAAGGAGTTTCTATGGTAATATCATTTGGATTTAATTCTTTGATAGATTGTTACCGATAGAATTTTAATTATCGTCATATTTTTGCTGTTTTCTATCTGTCAAAGACGGAAAAATAAATTTTAAATATTTTCTGTATCTGCATACTGGTAACCCTAAATCAACTAGCTCGTGATACAATATTTTCCATTTTATTTCAATTTTTACAATGTTTCATTTCCACTAATTGAAGATCGATGTATTACATGATTTGGAAATCCCAAAAAATTAAATGTAATAAAAATGTCCATAAAATAGATCATACACTTTTCACAGTAATATTGTTGAACGACGCGAAAATTTTCTTTATACCATACGATCGAAAAAAACGACGTCAAAGAGGGCTGGGAATGACAATCCGTGATAATTTTGGCGAAGTCAAGCCCTAGACGTCATTACTTGGCTAGTACTCTTCATCTCCTAATGGCGCTTACTGCCAGTTGGCCTTAAGAATGTTGTAATTTATTTTTATATGGTCTAAAAATGATTTTTAAATGGTGTAGTTTAAAATTCGGGAAAAAATATTTTTTTGGAAATATATTTATGTGTCTGGAAACGTTCTATCCTTTTTTAATCTTTCTATAATTAGTGTTAATTTTTGACAAGATTTATGTCAATTTTTTAAATGACGGATTAGAGAATGGCCTCGCTAAAATTATTATCGATAGTCATTCAACAGCCACCTTTGACGCTTTTTTGGCTCATATGGTATTAAAAAGATGCGTTCATTAATAATTCTTCCTTCAGTTGTCTAATAGACACAACTTAATTTAATAACATTTTGGATTTAAAAAAATCTAAGGATTCGAAGACTTTGTTATTCTATTTCATTTCATTTTGTTACGTTATATCATTTCCACCGATTGAAAATCGACGCGCTACATGACTCGGAAAACCCAAAGATTAAATGTCATAAAATAGCCATAAAGAGCGTCATAAAGTTTTTCACAGCATCGCGTATTGTCGAAGTTTTCTTTTATACGCGGCGAAAATACGTTTTTTTACCAAAAGCTTTGGAGCGGCGGAAAGCTTGAAGAAAACGGCGCAAACGAGATGATATAAATATTAAATATTTTCTCCAGTCTATCAGTTTTCGTTCTTTATTATTAAAAAGAGCTGCCTCATTTGGCTCTACGCGAGAAAATCGATACCGGGGAGAACCAAAGACTAAAAGTTATAAAACCCTGTGTGCCGCTCTCGGAGAAATCCTAATTCTGAAGAGGGAAAAATAAAACTTTGTCTCTTGCCTCTGTCTTTCTCTCGCTCGCTTTTCTCCCTTTTACTGCTGTTTTTGTTTTCGATGGAACATAATGGAGGCTTTTGTGTCCTTACGTACTCTGGAGACAGCTTTAGTATGTTAGTGGGCATAACGTTTTACATAAAAGAAAGTTAAAGGACATAAATATATTAATAGTATACCGGGTGTTTTTCAAAAGTAGCTCTCCTCTATAACTTTTTTATTTTTTTTTCAGATGAAAAACGAAATTTGGTATTTTAATATATGACATTAATGTGGATTGATTGACGTATTCAACTAGATTCGTTCACTTCCTGTTTCACCCGAAATTACTACAAATTTTGATTTTTAAATCGTAACCTCAGTATTTTTTTACTTTATTTGCTAGAAAATAACATTCTGATTGAATATGGCATATCATAATATGTCAATTTTTGACATTTTCAATTAAAAAAATAGTATTATTAAAATATTTAATTTGCTAGCTCAAAATTAGAATTATTATGGTGCGTTTAGACTTGAGCACGCACGAGCTGAGCGTGCGCGCACGGCATTCGTTCGCGCTCTAGGCTCCGTTCAAATTAAAAACTTATTTTTCGACGAATGAAGTGATCCATTTGTGCGCGCACAGCAGGGTTGTGTTGGCGAAAATAATGGACGTCCAAGAAATAGTCGAGGCTGCAGTCATTGTTATGCACAGCTTAATTATTAAAAAGGAGAAAAATCGAAAACATCGTCGCTGGTGGCAAACCCAAATTTTTAGAAATCGATATAATTTACTGCAACAACTTCGTGTCTGAGGAGGGCTATGATCAGTTCAAAAACTTTACAAGAATGACCAGACCCGACTTTGAATATTTACAAAATTTAATAACACCAAAAATTACGAACAAAAGATACAAATTTTAGAATAGCGATTTCATTAATATCGACATATTCAATATTAATTTTATTTACAAGATCTTGCCATGCGTTTTTTTTTGTTTTTTAATAATACAAAGAATGTTTAACAACATCCCATAATATAGGCAACTTTTCATATTCTTCAATTAATAATAACGAAGATTCATTGATCCACTCCATAATTTTAATAAAGAAAACGAAAAAAATCACACACGCACGCACGAACGCAGACAAAACAAATTGCCGGTGCAAACTGAGCGTTCGCGCACACATAAAATCCTTTTGAGCACGGACCAAAAACCGACACCAGACGGCTCACGTTCGCGGCTGCTCGCGCACAGACAGATTCATAGTGAGCGTGCGCGCGCGGCCGTTTACACTTGAGCATTCGCGGAGGATCAGTGCGTGCGTGCGCGCACGGCATTCGTTCGCGCTCTCGGCTCCGTTCAAATTGAAAGCTTATTTTTCGACAAATGAAGTTTGTTTCGACAAAAAGTTTCGACAAATCCATTTGTGCGCGCACAGCAGAGTTGTGTTGGCGAAAATAATGGACGACCAAGAAATAGTCGTGGCTGCAGTCATTGCTATGCACAGCTTAATTATTAAAAAGGAGAAAAATCGAAAACATCGTCGCTGGTGGCAAACCCAAATTTTTAGAAATCGATATAATTTACTGCAACAACTTAGTGTCTGAGGAGGGCTATGATCAGTTCAAAAACTTTACAAGAATGACCAGACCCGACTTTGAATATTTACAAAATTTAATAACACCAAAAATTACGAACAAAAGATACAAATTTTAGAATAGAAATTCCATTAATATCGACATATTCAATATTAATTTTATTTACAAGATCTTGCCATGCGTTTTTTTTAATTTTTTACTAATACAAAGAATGTTTAACAACATCCCATAATATAGGCAACTTTTCATATTCTTCAATTAATAATCACGAAGATTCATTGATCCACTTCATAATTTTAATAAAGAAAACGAAAAATCATCCCATAATATAGGATCAGTGCGTGCGTGCTCAAGTCTAAACGCACCATTAGAGTTAAGCAACTCGCATTTTCATTGGAGGACATCGTCACATTTATTTCAAACCAAGAGTCGTTCTAATTACACGATTTTTTTTATTTATAATGTCAAAAGTTGACATATAATATGTCATTCTATCCAGAATATCATTTTCTATCATATAAAGTCAAAAAAAATACCGAGGATACCATTTAAAAAATCAAGACTTGTAGTCATTTCCGACGAAACAGGAAGTGACCGAAAGTAATAGAATACGTCAATCAATCCCGATTTACAGTATTGGCCATAAGTGGATGAACTTTGTTAAAATAATGTGTTTTTCCTAATATGTTTAAAATTAAAATTTGAGCTATATTTACTTTGAAGTCTAGTGTCAGTGCTATAAAAATAAATAGCATTGTTTTTTTAAAATGTGCTTTAATAAGGTAGCAAAAAATTTAAATTGAAAAACTATTGGACAAAAGTAGATGAACAAAATATATATTTAATAAAAAATCTTATGTTAACAAAAAACTGAAAAATTAACTTATAATTTACTAGTACTTAGTCTTATGTTAACAAAAACTGAAAATTAACTTATAATTTACTAGTAATAACCCTTAACCCTTAATTACTTTCAGACATCGCTTAGGCATGGATCCCAGAAGATTTTCAATTATAGAAAAATCGATATTTTTCCAAGACTCTTCCAAAGCTGCAAATAATTCTTGCTTATTTTTGTAGAATTTGGTCCTAATGTGTTGATCCAAAATTTCCCATAAATTTTTTATTGGATTCAGGTCTGGGGATTGCGATGGCCATTTGAGGACAGTCACCATTTCATCTTCCAAAAACCTTTTAACCAATTGTGAGGCATGTTTCGGGTCATGAATCAACATTTCACATGTTGGAAGTAGTGTACAACTGGCATTTTTTCCTCCAAATGAGGCACTAAAAGATTTTGTAAAATGTCTCTGTAGCCAAACCGATCCATTATGCCCTCAATTTTATGGAGAGGCCCCATCCCATACCCAGAAAAACAGCCCCATACCATGATTGAGCCCCCACCATGTTTTAGAGTGTATTTGGTAGCAATCGTGTGTTGGGAGGTCTTCTTACATGTTGAATTCCATCTGATGACACCAAATTAACCTTTGATTCATCACTAAAACAAATTTTTTTCCATTGTGCCACAGTCCAGTTTTGATGTTCCTTGGCAAATGCTAATCGGGTCTTCAAATTTTTTTTTTGATAGCAGTGGTTTCTTGGCGGCTCTTCGGGAAAACAACTTCTGGTTAACTAATTTACGTCGGATCGTCCTTGTACTCACTGGTGGATAGCCCATTTCTTCAAGTTTTGCTTTTATCTTCGTTGACAGCAAAAATGGATCTTGTGAAGAAATTCGTTTTATAGCTTTTATCACATTGGGACTAACTTTTTTAGGTCGTCCTGGTTTTCTTTTTATAGAGACACCTTCTCTCTCATTATATCTCTTTAAAATATAATGTACCGCTGATTTTCCAAGGCGTAATTGCTTAGCGATTTCCGATTGCTTCAAACCATCCTTAAAAGCATTCACTACTCGCAACTTAAGATCGGCAGACAAGTTAATT